TGCTGGGGGAATTTATCCGCGACTGAAATTTCCCAGTAATTTCGCCCCGAAACCGAAATGGAATTTAAATAAGCGCTAAAACAACACGAGTGCCCAGAGACACCCGATGTTTAAAAAGTGCCACGTCTCGCTAAAAAATGATGCACAATAGCTGTGTTTAACTTGCCTGTCACTCAAGCCCGACTTCCACGGGTTTAAAAGCAAACAGTTACGATTTCACTTGATTGCAGTTAAATGTTTCAATATTTTTCCAGCATTGTCCTTTGTGTTTGTACAGTGCAAGCCCCATTATGCACGTGTAACTATAGCAGGGAAAGCTTTCCGTTCTGTTTCAAAACAAACGATTAATTCCATCGTAGCGTGCGCGTAAGTGCGTTTGTGGGTGGCTGCGTTTTAAATGAGCATGTTATAATAAACGTGCTTTCTGTGGAGTGGTTGCAAACCACACAAGGCTAAAATTCAGCCTGTGGATTGGGGAGGCCTTCATCCAGCAGTGGATTTGCCCGTGTGCACTGCAGAAATTTGCAAAACTCGTGCGTGAAGATATGAGACCGTGCAGTGTTGCGTACTACTCTACAGATGATTTTTTACAAACTATATTGAGGAGTAATAGACCAAGTTTGTATAAAACTGTCAAGATCCCAGTTGTAAAATGCATTGCCCAAAATAATACGGGCGTGGGTTTTTTTGTGAGTACCGTCATACAATTGAGCCGTGAGGTTGTGGTAAATTCAACCTGAATGCGGGTTTTACTGTGATTTTAAAACATGTGTTTTAGTTAAATAAACATCTCGTGATAACCTCGAGCTTATGAGCTTGCAGTTAAAATAACCTTTTACGTGTAATCTTTACGTTCACCCCAGCCTTAATGTCCTTTTGTGTTGGCTTTGGATAATTCTCTGCCCATGATGGTTCCACCCTCGCCCACAATGCCGTCTAAATGGCTGCAATGTGTTTAAACGACCCTGACATTTGACCGTATTCTCCCCAGGTTTCGGTACGCGAGGCAAGGTGCCTGCTGCGTTTAACCGCCGTGGGTGCGAACACAAGTGTACCACTTACTATGGCGCCGGTGGTGTAGAGAAGTCGATGTTTATATTGTTGAATGTGTGGACCCATAGAATTGTTTGACAGATCCTCAAGGACGGCTTTCAAGGATTCTCGGGCCATCTTATTGCCCAACCTGCGCCTGTTTCAGACCTCAAAAAGGGATGCTCGTGGGGCGGCATGGTTAAAATTGTGGCTTTCGGGATCCACACAACTTTTCACGAAACCAAAAACAAATGGAGATAAATGTACGGGCCACGCTTCCCGAGAAGATATCCACCAACTAGGTGGAGTGATGAAATCGCCTCGTTCGCAGGTGTGAGGTGTGCATTCTTACCTGGTGGGATCGCAGCAGCTGAGCAGAAGCCCCTTCATCCAGCAGTGGATAGACCATGGCTGGTGATTAAATATATTTCCAAATTACAGGGTGGTAATGCTTTTGGAAAATACAGATTTTATGTTAGGAACGTGACTGTCCACAGGTGGGCCTAATTATGTACCCATTCAGGGAAAAAATGTGAACGTGTGAAAATGATTTAGGGCTGCACACACTGCCTTTTATTTATAATCCAGACTTTTAATAATTGCCTTCAGTGCATTGTTTTGGAAGCTTCTACCAGATTGTGTGGGTAAATCACAGGTTGCGTAATTATGACCCTTCCATATTGAATGTTTTCACTTAAAAGGGTCCCAAACTGCACCTGTCATACTGGCACCCCTGCCTGGAATATCGTTCGCATGTCTACCACCAAACAGTTATATGGAATCTTGGGTAACTTTCATCTGAATGGTGATTGATAGACCTTGAAAAGGGAATGTGTGTATCCCAAAAACTGGAAATATTCAACCGGGTGAATTTTTTTCCATCCAAATTCGACCACAATGTAAACATGCAAATCGGTAAAATTTTATTTGATTTACCAAACCTGATGATGCTTAAAATGTATCGAACCTCTAACCCTGTGCGTGCGTGTTAAAACTCAAGACCTTGTTGACACAGTCACTCAATGAGTTTCGTTAATATATGAGTGGCATTATGGCCAAATTTGCACTGGAACCACGAGCAGTTGCTTAAGTTTCGACCATTGTGGTGTGCCTGATTGACGTTACTGCTCCCTCCACCACCACCGCCCTCATCATCTTTCCTCCTTGTGCTACCAATTCACCCAATTATACACACCTGCAGACCTCTGTGAACAACTCCCAGAGTTCAAAATGCTGCCCCAGCAATTCTCGGTGCACCCAACGTGATCTCTGCAGTGACCCTGTCTCCTTTATGTTAAGACCGGTGAAGGAGAGCTTCTGTTCGGTCTAACACTACAAGTTTTAGAGGGTTTTTTATATGCTCTCCGTCTACTTTAAATTCTAGAAACTCCATCATCTCTCGCCACTTTCATCAGGTGCGCGATGCGTACACACAAGCGTGCCGTGGAGATGTGCGCACCGTGCTTACAAGTAAGTAGTGAAGTCACAACGCAATAGGTTTTTATCGTGTCCAATTGCAAAGGTTGTGTGTACAGTATACATGTTTTCGTTGGGTTGTAGCATTTTGCTCGTAATAGATGTTAATATATTACTCTGCAAGATGTGGTTTGGAAACTCAGCTTGTAATTTGCCTCTTGAGCGATTAGGTTTTTGATGTTGATTACAAAAAAACGATGCTTTTCTAACACAAAGCCTGTATTTTTGCCTAAACTCTTTCCAGAATGGAATTGTAGATATTTCCTGAAGCTCTTTGTCGTTGCACAACTTTGTGGATGAAACTTGAGCGGTAGCCGTGCTTCTTTAATTCCTCACTGTCTCACTGGTACATTTATTTTATTTCATGGAAACCTAACTGGTATTAGGAGAGGGTACAATATCTATCACGTAACATATCTCCGTTTCAAGCCCCCCCCCCCCCCCCCTTCAAATAAAAACCACATCGGTTTTTTTTCCATGTTGCTGGCAGTGGGGGGTGGGTTGCAGGGACCGTACCAAAAACGACATGTAAAATATCACTGGTTTTACCCTTTGTTTATTAATGCGCCTGTGTGTGGCAAAACCAGTGATGGAAATTCAATGTAACATATGGTCGGTTACAGCGTTGTGGACACCAGATTGCCATTAACCAGTGTAAATGTGTTCCTGTGATTTGTAGTTTTTACGGTGTATTACAAGGTGAAATTGTCTCCTAATAAAATGGCTGGTGCAATAAACAGAATACCGTTTGTGGTGGAAACTTTTGTATACCTTCGAGGCATGTACACGTGCAAACTCTTACACTTGGTTGTAACAAAACAAAAATGTTAGCATTTGTCCCCCTGTCCATTACTAACCATGCAGGTGAATTGGTGGCACGGTGGGTTGCCACGTTGCGCTGGTGATGACTTGATTCCTGGCTCGGGCTAACATCGGTGGCACGTGACGTCTGAACTAGTCCTTCGTATCACTCCTTCACCAACCCGTGCTGTTGAACGTGAAGTATTGTCAAACGGCCAGAGTAAATCTGGCTCTTGCGAATTAGCTGATGTCCATTGCTCCATCTCCACCGTGGTCAAGCCCTCTCAGCCATTACGTCCATTGGCTGCAATTCGGTCAGCAGTCTCGCAGATCAGCTGCCGTCCCTTTGAGCGGTGTACTGCCAAAACTCACCTTCGTTTTAATTCAATATACCTCTAATTTGTGTTGTACTTTGATGCATGGTCCCCTATCTCAGTGTGCATAACAGTGTGCATCTATCCATGTATCTTTGCATACCTTTCAGCCTTTGATGTATGTTAATGTTGGTATACTGCTTTAAGCAATTTTTTTTTTTACAAAAGAGAATTCCACCCAGCTTCCGCTTTTTAAAATCATATTCTTAGGTTTTTTCGGTAAAGTCGCTGTGATGGTTCCTCCTGAAGACGGAAGCTTGTGTTGCCTCCGAAACGTCGTGATTTTTATTATTTTATTTTTATTTTATTTTACTTTTATTAATTTGAATTTTTTACCTACGTGACTTTACCGAAAAAAACCTAAGAATATGAATCCTTGCAGTCACGAAAGCTTCAAATCTATAATTTTTTAATCATGTTCATCCTGGTCTGCCTTCAGTAATTGCTCCGTGTATATATATACTATGTTGAACAAGTGTCAATTCCACATTCCAATGGTGGGAGTCGGTGTATTTACAGGAAAAAATATTTTCTTTTGTTTAACGAAATGAAATAGATTCTGTAAATTACAAGAAAAGCCCATCGAACAGGAACAAGATGCACGTGATTTTAGTTTTGCTTATTAATATGTTATCTTTTACTCCACTTTGTAGCTTTGATTGAGTTTTTCAATACATTTTCTATGATGGTGAATTATTTCACCAGTTACCATTGACCACGAGCATACTTATATATATATATACGATTACATGTTTTAACCCATCGAATACCATTGTTCATCGCTTTAGTAGGTGCACAGAAATAAGTATACCTTCAATTGGGTCACGTATAAAAAATATTTGTGTAGCAAATGAATTATTCTGTTTTGTGAGCTCTCTGTACTTGAAGTGTACAATGTGAATAGTGACATTTATTCTCTAAGGATGTGTCAAAGCTGTGTTGCGCGTATGGAACTGCACAATTACTCAATTGTTTAACCCATTTAACACGATACAAAAACTAACGTTGCCAAAAATTCCAAGTGACTTCATGCTCAATCGAGCAATAAGACTTTTAATTTCATATTCAGAGCCCTGAGCCAGTGGTGGAAATTCCACATTCCTATGGTGGGAGGGAGTCAGTCCATAGGACAACCGCTGGTGACAGTCACAAAGTGGTACCTATTTTATCGAGCCTGGATGGATGATGGGCTAAGTAAACCCTCCCTCCTCCCCGCAACCAGGATTTCAACTCGCTCAACCGTTCAGCCAGCTGGTCAATTTAGAGCGATGTGCTGCATGAGTAAAACAGGATTAACACTTGTCACGCTGCTGATAGAATAAACTTGCTTTATTGGTATTCATATGAAGATAAATAACAAAATGAAAAAAATGAAATAAGTTAAAACAAAAATAACAACAAAGCAATTGGTTTGATTAAATTAGGACGTATTACAAGTGGCCTTACAAGCAATGTAAGTTTCACAAACAGGAACAGCGATCAATAGTTTAAAAAAAATACAAACAGCAGCCACACTGTCAAATTAATTCCAAATGCTTTTAAAAAATGATTATTTTAGTCATGTTTAGGCAGTAGGGTATTGTAATTTTTTAATTGCTCAACACCTTAAATTTTGCTGGCACAAAGTACAATATTGCCAAACTTTAGCGTTGCCTCCACACGCAGGTAAAATGCTACAAAAATGCACAATATTTAATTGAAAACCAAATTTTATGTACATGTATCTGCGATGCCACACACGGTGTTTGAAACAAGTGTATATATAGCGCGAGTATTTACGACCTATAACTTGGTTGACACTGAATATTTTTTTTTACGTAAATTACATCTGGTATAAGAGCAGATTGTTGCCATGAACAGTGCAAAACAAAAATCATCCTTATAAAAATGTTTCACACACTATGATTGTTTGCTCACAACTAAACCATACCTCAGACCTTTACAGTATATAAATAGTACAACTACCTTTCATTCGAGTCGCGGGGGGGGGGGGGGGGTCACACACTGACGTTGTTTTAATGCAAAATTTAATTAGAATAATGAATCTAATCCACCCTGTTTGGGATTTTCTAAATAATTTTTGTTACATGCGACGCACAACCAAACTGCACAGGGACGCCCACAATTAAATTATCGATACTCTGCCTGTATCGATTCCCCTGTACCATAAAAATGTAATTGATTAATGTGACATGGCTTCCCCCCACCCACAATCTAAATGCGATGCATACATTTAAATCTTTCAAAGCGTTCTCTGCTGCTCAGCGCTCCGACGCGTTTCGCCAGGCGCGCCGCGTGATGTTAAATTTTATCGCTCCAACGTGCTGGGCAGCAGCGTTCGTTGGGAGGTTTCCACCAGCATGTGGAATGAAACGTCGGACATCGTGCCAAAGGGCACACGGTACGACGTCAAGACGCGCGTCAGAGGGGTATCGGCAAGGCTGAGAGATTCCATGGAGTTGTGCTGCTGAATTGAATTGCTACGGATGTTTCTTTTCAACCAGTGAGACCCCTGTTAAAAAAAAATACCCCAGCGTGGATAAATCCAGAATGCACATAATAACAATAATAGCACCAAGAGCACAGACAAGGGGGGGAGGGTGAAGAAAAAAAACAGCTAAGTTCTATTGGCACTGGATCTCAACCGCTTAAATCCTTTCAGCGAAGCCTTGCACACAAAATATTCCCCCAGACAAAAATCTACGAGGTTAACTTGAATCAAAATCGTAAAGGTAAAATGTTACCACTAAAACTTTCACGAAAAATCAATGTTGGCAGCTGCACTTAAAACTCCAAGGCCTCTAACACTATCACGTTATCTAAAACGAGAAAAAAAGCTATTTGCAAAATATGTATATTTAAAAATGTATTCAGTGCGAGAGATTTGTCTTCGTCCACTGCTGACGCTTCGCTCCAATAAGTTCATCCACATCGAATAGAAAATACAAAAACGGCAACCCTCATCTCTCACCATCCCTCGCCACGCGCTCCCCCTTTTTTAATTCTAAAATATTTCTTTTCACGACTTAAGCACTGTACAATCACAAATTGTGCACGAATCCATTTACTCTTATCACTATGCATATTTGAAAAAAAATGCGACGACAAAGCATTGAAATTTGCAGGGATGGTGGGAGGGGGGGCACGGGAGAGAGAGAGAGACAGAGAAAAAAAGTTCACAATAAAAAAAAAGCTCTTGGTAGTCGAGAAAACATTTCTGAACAGACCCGTCGCTTCGACAATAAACATCCCCTTTGCAGCAAGTGTTGGCAGGGCCTTGGCATTGCCCTTCAGGGGGCAAATGGTGGAAAAATTGAGGATCGAATGAACACGATGTCCTGCGCAACCCCATTCAGCTGTTTAATGTCCCGGGGCAGCAGCGAGGGTGGGGGGACTAAGACCTGCTGGGATTTGGCAGGTCTATGACTATCGGCGGATTCGTTGGCTGGAAGCTCACTGTGCACAGCGATGCGTTCACGTATGTCGTACAACTGTCCGTCATGATGCCGTAACCTACGAGGGGGGGGGGATAAGGGGAAGAGGCAGAAACGGGCAGTGCATTATTATTTGTATGACCACTATTATTATTGTTGGGTGGTCAAGTGCGGCGGATGAGCAAGTGCAAGTCCAATTTTAATTGGTGCTACAATAGAAATATCCAGTGACGAGCCGTGTGGCATTGCGTGTGTGTCTGTGTATACAAGTGCTAATGACAGGCATCCCACGAGAGCCGTTCACGGACTGTTGTGGAAAGTCCTTTTAGTGAACACCCATTTATTCTAGATTTGAAGATTTGGTGACTGCAAGGATTCATATTATTAGGTTTTTTCGGTAAAGTCACGTAGGTACAAAATTAAAATTAATAGAAGTAAAATTAAAATAAAATACAAATCACGACGTTTCGGAAGCAACACAAGCCTCCGCCTTCAATCAAGTGATGCAGCAATCGTGCTGTGACTGTTCCACCTGAAGACGGAGGCTTGTGTTGCTTCCGAAACGTCGTGATTTTTATTTTATTTTTATTAATTTTAATTTTTTATCTATTTGGTGACTTTACCGAAAAAACCTAAGAACACCTATTTAGGCCGACGAGGTACTTGGGGGAGGTGGTGTAGCCAGCACCGAGCCCGGCAACATTTATCTCCCCCCCCCCCCCCCCCAGTGCCGATGATTTACACGTGACATCAAATACTCATTTCTGGCTCAGGCCACCCACAGGAGACCCAGGCCAGATGATTCAGAACTGCACCGGTTTCTCGTGGTGCCTTGTTTTGTGCGTGTCCTGGTGTTGCAAGGATCGCTCCACGGTTACCGTTATGACCCAGGACCAGTTCAGATAACCCTCGCCACGGATGCTCGCCGTGGTCGGAAATTGAACTGAGGTCGTTGGGTTGATAAAACACCTTGGGGTGGGTGCTGAAGTGGTTCGTGCACTGCGCTACACCCGGGATCTGTCTCTATGCTTTGTACGTAAGAAGTGTGTGTCTTTGTGCGTGCGTGTGGGCGTGCGTGAAGTGCGGGTGTGTGTATGTGTGTGTGTGTCTAAGTGTGGGAAGCGGTGATGTAGTGGTTAGTGCGCTTCGCTACGAACCTGGTGACCCGGGTTCGATTCCCGCTCACGCCCAACACCAGTGACGATTATCTGTACCGGTCCTGGGCCTCCCCTAGGTCGACTCAGCCTCAAATGAGTGCCTGGTGCGATGTGTAAACATTGCACCAGGTACTCAAAGGCGGCCGGGCGTGGTGTTGGCCACCCACCCCCTCGTGTGCAGTGCCGACCTTTATAAGTGCCCGCTAACAGCACTTGCCCCTACAGTCTATTAAGGCTATACTGGGGGATCTTTTGTGTGTATGCGTACATACGGATGGGCGTGCGTGCGTGAGTATAACCGATTTGCATGCGCGCACTTGCATTAGTGCAACGCATGGCACATCCGTGCACGTGTGAGTGTACGTCCCGTGCATCTGGTGCGTGCGTCGTGCGCGCGTATTAGTAAGCCACTGGAGCAGTGCACTTTTAAATCTAGAATTAAAACTCATTCCGTTAGAACAGTTTCGTTTGTTGTCCTTCCCCCGCACCTCCCGATTGGCACGGTTGGCTACGTACGGTGCAAAAGAAGTTCAACGTGCGTGCGTGCGTGCGTGCGACACCGACCCTCGTGTATGTGCCCGAAGACGTGCAGCTTGGGCTGTACGCGCTTCTGCACAGTGTTGAGCAGCTCCACGCACCCCGCCCTCTGCAGCACCTTCGGGACCCAGTCCCGGAACCCTGCAACGAGGCAGACGCAACACGATCCGGGCTATTACGCTAAACACTTGCAGCCTTTCTCCCCCGTCCTGCGAGAGGGCGCGCACGGCTCGCACTGGGTGGTCCCGCAGATTGAGCAGCTTCATACTGGGGGACTTCTCCACATTGCCGGAGGAAGAGTTAGGGGGCTTATATCTCTCTCTCTGCGCTTGAGTAATGTTCAAGCATTTATTATTTAATACGATAACCGAGCACGCACCCACGCGGCACTCGCTAAAGCCATGCTCGCACGTACAGGGACGGAGCGCGGGATTAGGTTAAAGCAGCTATCGAATTAAAATGCGAACTTAAAAAAAAAAAATCCAGCGAAAAAAATTGCCTGCGTATATTTCACAAGGATATACATTCATTCTTTGCAAACTACAGGATTGAAAACTGCGCAAGTGCACAAGAAAGGGGTTGCGATAGCAGCGTGCAGCTATGTTAATAATGCTCACTTTTAATGAAATTGAACGCGGTAAAAAAAGTCCAAACTGACAGCTCCGGCATGGAATTTCACTGGATATTAATTTCAAGAAATTTGAGAAAAATTCACTCGCACGGGCTAGTGTGAAATGCTCTGGTGATGTGGCAACTATTGCAGGCCACCGTTCTGATACTCACACTGCAAAAGCTACTCATCTTAGGCTGAGTCGACCTCGGGTAGAGTCCTCTGACGAGGTTAAAGTGCCGATAACCAATGATGTTCATTGTAGCCAAGAATCAAATCTGTGTCGCTGGAGTACTGTTGTGCAAACACTCATTCTCCAGTATGTGGCATACCTGACTGTAACATGTCTGCCCTGGCCAATTAACTGCCAAACACCCAGGGCATTTTTGTATCGATGTTCACACAAATCCGATCTTTTCACATCCAGTAACGAATGTTAATCTCCCATACATTCGCTCACTACTAAAGCACAGTCGAGCAGTTGCTCATCTTCAAAGCAGTTTGCCCTTCATCTCGATACGGGAACACTAATAATTTTCTATAGCCGTTCACATATCTGACCTATTTACATATCTGCCTATGCCTCCAGTCCCCGGAGGCATATGCCATCGCACTGCATTTCAATTAATCAATAACCACCCTCGTGTTGATTCCCCCTCTCCGTTAGACACGGACGGATGTACGTGCATCAACAAAGTGTCAGCATTCTTTTTTCGATTTAAAGCTTTCGTGACTGCAGGGATTCATCTTCTTGGTTCTTTCGGTAAAGTCACGTAAAATGAAAATAATAAAATAATAAAAATAAAACATTCTAAAATAATTCTCACGACGTTTCGGCCACAACGCAAGCAGCCGTCCTCAGGTGGAGAACAGGTCTGTCGAGAAGACAGACTGTCAGACTGTCTTCTGTCAGACTGTCTTCTCGACAGACCTGTTCTCCACCTGAGGACGGCTGCTTGCGTTGTGGCCGAAACGTCGTGAGAATTATTTTATTATGTTTTATTTTTATTATTTTATTATTTTCATTCTACGTGACTTTACAGGTCTGTCGAGAAGACAGAGTCTGACAGAGTCTGACTTCTCGACAGACCTGTTCTCCACCTGAGGACGGCTGCTTGCGTTGTGGCCAAAACGTCGTGAGAATTATTTTATTATGTTTTATTTTTATGATTTTATTATTTCCATTCTACGTGACTTTACCGAAAGAACCAAGAAGATGTCACCATTCTCCCAACAGTTTCCAGACCCGGCGGTCTGCTGAACGACGGAGCGGTCGCTGCGCAAAACCGCTCAATATAATGAGCGCGCAAAGAAACAACAAAGACGCAAAACGAGTCGAATAATGCCGTGGTCAAGGAATCGGATGGGGGAGCAGGGATTGAAAGCAACAATTGCAAGAATGAATGAATGAAGGCACTGGGGGCGCCGGCCACCATTAAGGGCACAAAGTGGCATTGGTCGTTCTGTGTCGAGGAAGTGGCAAACAAAAGAGGACCACATAGTAAGGGCAATTTTTTGTGTTGTTTTACAAGTCCTCAATGCAGCCAGCATGAAGCCGGGGGTAGTGGACGCATTCATTCATTAGGGGTTTGTTTTGTAACTGCTGTATCCAGGCAGTGTGAGACGGAAAGCGGTGGAGCAGAGTGGGAGGGGGGTGGAGAGTGGGTGGGGGGGGTGAGTGGGTGATGGTGGTGGTGAGTGGGTGATGGTGGGGGTGGTGGAGAGTGGGTGATGGTGGTGGTGGTGAGTGGGTGATGGTGGTGGTGAGTGGGTGATGGTGGTGGTGAGTGGGTGATGGTGGTGGTGAGTGGGTGGTGGTGGAGGTGGTGGTGGTGAGTGGGTGGTGGTGGTGGTGAGTGGGTGGTGATGGTGAGTGGGTGATGGAGGTGGTGGTGGTGAGTGGGTGATGGAGGTGGTGGTGGTGAGTGGGTGATGGTGGTGGTAATGGTGGTGGTGAGTGAAGGAGGTGGTGGTGGTGGTGAGCAGGTGGGTGATGGAGGTGGTGGTGGTGGTTGTGGTGGCCATGTGCGATAGGTGGTGGAAGCGGTGGTAGAAAGGAGGTGACGGTTGTGGTGGTGAGATATTGGGGGTAGTGGTGATTATAGTGGCAAGAGTGGAGGGTGGTGGTAAAACTAAACTGTAAATTAAACTTTTTTTTATTTTACCAGTTAAGGCCCACGGAGCTATATAGCTATTTTTCATAAGCGACCTGGCCGCAAATGATAGCTCAATGAAGTGGCTTATCATGTGGAAATTTATAGCCGTGAAATGTTTCTAAATGTGGAGGGAAAAACCGGAAGACCCGGAGAATAATGCACGCGACCACGGGGAGAGAGATACGCAAACTCCAAATGTGCAGCAGGCATCAGGGTCGGGATCAAACCTACGACCTCCTGAATACCAGGCGAGGTCGTTAACATCTCGCCACCGTAGCACCCCGTGGTGCTGGAAGGTGGTGGTGGTGGAGAGTGGGTGGTGGTAATGGTAGTTCTGGGGGATCGTGGTGGTGGTGGAGAGTGAGTGGTGGTAGTGGTGGTTCTGGGGGATCGTGGTGGTGGTTCTGGGGGATCGTGGTGGTGGTGGAGAGTGGGTGGTAGTGGTGGTTCTGGGGGATCGTGGTGGTGGTTCTGGGGGATCGTGGTGGTGGTGGAGAGTGGGTGGTGGTAGTGGTGGTTGTTCTGGGGGATCGTGGTGGTGGTGGAGAGTGAGTGGTGGTAGTGGTGGTTCTGGGGGATCGTGGTGGTGGTGGTCGTGGTGGTGGTGGAGAGTGAGTGGTGGAAGAAATGATAGTGCTGGAAGGTGGTGGTGGAGAGTGGGTGGTGGTAGTGGTGGTTCTGGGGGATCGTGGTGGTGGTTTTGGGGGATCGTGGTGGTGGTGGTAGTAGTGCTGGAAGGTGGTGGTGGTGGTGGTGGTGGTGGAGAGTGGGTGGTGGTAGTGGTGGTTCTGGGGGATCGTGGTTGTGGTGGTGGTCGTGGTGGTGGTGGAGAGTGAGTGGTGGAAGAAATTATAGTGCTGGAAAGTGGTGGTGGCGGCACTGGAGGCTAGTAGTGGTGGTGGAGAGTTGAGATTGTGGTAGTGCTGGAAGGTGGTGGTGGAGAGTCGGTGGTGGCGGTGGTGGTGGTGGTGGTAGTTTTGGGGGATCGTGGTGGCGGTGGTAGTGCTGGAAGGTGGTGGTGGAGAATGGGTGGTGGTAGTTGTGGTTCTGGAGGATCGTGGTGGTGGTGGCGCCGGAGGTGAGGAGTGCAGTATTCTCCGTACCCAGGGGAGGACCGTGCGTCATGAGCACATCGATTCCCTCGGGGATCAGGTTCCACTTGTCGAGGAGCGGCTGTCCCCGCTGCAGGTTAAAGCCCCAGCCATAATACCACGGGGTCCTGGGTGGGGACCATCACAAACAACACCACTGTCATCATCAATCATCATCATCATCATACATCATCATCATCACCATCCATCATCTCCATCATCATCATCATCACCATCAATCACCATCACTATCAATAATTACCTTTAGTATCATCACTATTACCATCGTCAAGTTCATTATCTGCAGGCTGCAAGTACCCGCAATCATTTGCCTGTGCACGCCTTTCAGTGCAGCAGACATGCGTGGACATGTGCAGCCGCCCTTTGTCCATCCAACACTGCGCTGGTCGTGGGAATTATTTGACTGTACTTCACCACGCTGATCAGTGCGGGTTGGTGAAAGCAGGAAGCATAGAAGTGCAGTGGAACAATGGATCATGTTGCACCGCCCTCTGCTGCCCACAAAATAGCAGCCTTTCCGCAGCCGATAAACTGCTCGGCACGCTGGTCACCCATTTAAAGCACGGCCCAGGCTCAAGCTTACTTTGCTTCGGACATCAAAGCAAATTGAGCAGAACCTTTAGTGATTTGGCCATAGGAATGCAGTATATATATTTTTGTATTGTAATACGTAGAGATCTAACGGTGTCCTCAGGGTCAGGGTAGGGCCAGCAAATGCTGAGATGCCGAGTACGAATCCAGCTTTCAGCTTGCCACGTTTAAATCGGGGCTGTCAAGCGTAGCAGAGTTAATGGTCTCAGCTCGGTTAGCACACACACACACAAAAATTACGATATTGAATTTCGGTTGAGAATTAAAAGAAAAAAATATCCGTTTCCCTTGCCATGCGCGGAACGTTTCTACGTTTGCAGGGTGTGTGCTACAGGGCAGTGCCCCCCAAGTTTGGCTTATGGAGGTCACTGGGAGGGGTCTCAGATGTAGTTTTGCGATATCACCTTCCGCAGGGCATTCTCTAACGGGCTTGACGCATTACTCTGCCAGAGCTCCCAATGGATATTTTGTCCCACGACAGGTTGTCAATAATGGGATTCGAATAAAATTGAGAAAAAAATATTAAAAATGTGACTTAAATACAATGGCATTACTGCAAGATACTGAGCACACACATTTCATTTATTTTTTTAAGCTCATCAATGTCAACATGCATAGTATTACCCTGCAGCAGTTTAGCCCAGGAGGGTCTCATTACACCATCTCCTATCTCCTACAGCTCAATCCCGTACCCAGGGGTGTTGTTTACCCATCAAGCATTCAGAATTATGCAGCTTGCTTTTCTTTTGCAAATTACATTCTATTAGTCAAATCGGCATCACGGTGCACAGGGAATATACTCCCATTAAGAACTCCAGAGGACCACGTTGATTATCTCCCAGAGAGCGGACTCGCGAAGATGAGGTCACAGAACTACCCTTCGACAGGCCTCTTTAACCACACTTAAGGGGATGCCTCATCTGTGCCCAGCAAAGTGTTTTCATCGCATGTCAATCAAGCCAAAGTTATTAAAGTTATCAAAGCTGAGATTTGACAAACAACGTTTCAGAAAATGGAGGGGGTAGATGGGAGGAGCGTTTCGTGCAATCATTGACAGCCCGGGTTGAGCCCATTGACTTGCCACGCTCAACAATCCGGTTGACAATCACTCCCGTCAGAAACCCAGATTCACACCCAGGATCTTGGCCGTGTCGGCTCCGTGCTCATGCGGCATTGGTCCACCTGCCGTGCTTTTTCTTTTTTGAGGGGCCTCGCAGAGAGCCCGTTGAGATTCAATGCCCGCTTATTGCATGGGAGGACCTGTGACCCGTGGAACTGAAGAACGATGTTTTGTATTAAAAAAAAAACCTACATTAATTTCAGTAATTATCACGTTTAACACTTGAACTGCGACTCTGGAAGAGCAATTGGCCTGGCTCTGAAAAAAAAAAAATCTATTCTTCCAATTATTTCGTTTAAGCCCATGGGGAAATATGTTGGATTTTTTTTTTTTAACCAGCCAGCAAAAAATATTGGTTCTTATATTTTATTTACTAAATGTATTTTCCCCCTGTATAGTCGCTGAAACAGCAAACGTACGTATACTGTAGAGTACAGAGAATTTTAATAATAAATCAAGGCATTACATTTATGACTCGCTGGGTTCTCTGCGGAGAGACAGCTCAGGATATTTACCACAGCACCGGTGCCAGAATGGCTCAACACATCCCACCTCTTCCGTGGAAGCAACAACTCCTAATCCGGGTCAGGTTCGTAAATGTACTTTTAATAATGACGCAAAAAAAAGAAAAAACCATTCGGGAAAATCAAGTGTCTCCTTTTAACAATGCGATGTGATCGTGGGAGAAATTGTGCCGCATGTCTCTCTACGCTGTACACCCCCCCCCCCCCCCCCCCAGGCTCTCCGTGAATCTGGTCTCTGCTCAAAGCACAGTGACCGGTTGTGGCTCGCGGCACTGCAAACGTGTTGTGTGCATGCACACACCGAGATAAAGATGCCCCCCCCCCCATTCAGCCTTTGATAGACTGTTGGGGCACTGTGCTCTGAGTGAGCACTTCTTCAAGGCCGGCACGGCCAATGCCACGCCCGTCCGCCTTTGTCTCCCCAGTGCTGCTGTTTACCCACCAAATCAAGTACCCGTTTCAGGCAGAGTTGACCTCGGGGAGGCTCAGAACCAGTTCAGACCTTCAGCGCTGATTTTTACAGCGAGAGGGATTTGAACATGGGTCGCCGGATTTGTATAGTGCACTAACCACGACGACACGACCGCTCCCCACACACACACACACGGACGCAGGACCTGACCCTTTTTATATGTACTTTATAAACCTCAAAGTAAATGGATATAGCACGATACTGCTCACATGGGCATACTCTTCCGGGAAATCACCACAAGGGCAACCCTGTAATAACACAGGTCACACCGCCGTTCATAAGTCATATATATACGGCCAGGTTGGAATGTGATGTTTTTGCAAGGGGAAAAAAAATTCAATAAGGTCCTTACACCACAATTTCCTTATTTATGCTGCAACGAAGAAACGCGGCGGGCAAGCGCACCCACACACGCGCGTGCCAGGCAACTTAAAACGCTTGGGAGCAAAAAAAAAGACACAAGGCGGCAACTGAGAAATATGGATTACGGTCTCGTTTCTCTCAAGTACAGTTACATTTAGGCATTGGAACCTGCCCAGGCCCTCTCTCTCCTGCCATGTAAATTGGAGAGCCCAAACACACGACGACTTCTCACGACGAGCTCACACGGCCACGCATCCTTCTGCGGCGAAGCGGAGGCAGAAAATTCCAGCCTCGTAATTTTCTCATCCAAAGCAGTTTTGGCTAAAAGGCTGCAACACCTTTTGCTACCTTCCTCAAGGTGGGGGGTGGAGTTTGAAACAAAGGCTCTTCTCCTCTTAACCAGCAGATCCGTTCACAGACTGTTGCGTCCTGCGCTGTCTTACCTCGAGATTGAAGGCGTTGTAAATGAGATAGCAACGAAAAATCGTCCAGTCACAGCTAATCGCATCGGCGAGAAGGCGCGAGTGGAATCGCTGCGATAAGATCATAGCGTCTTTCCCCGTTAAGTTTTAGCCACATTGCATGGCCGATGTCACCAGAGTGCTATCATGGAATGCCTTATTGTGATATTCAAGTTTTTTTTTATTTGAATTTAACTTGTGTCGGATAGACTTGGGGGGGAGGGAGTGTGGATGGGGACCATACGTATCTGCAAGATAAGCATATCTGCCCTGAGTAAAAACAATATAATCTTCACAAATAATACATATGTCGGGTGTGAGGTGATTGTTACGCAATGCTTGATATTTTATGTGGCGCGAGCAGCTTTGGCAGTGTCTCACTGCTCCAGGCCACGTGCTCAGGAAGGATGTTGTGTATTTGTTTTGTTACTCTCGAGTTTAAAAGCAGAATGACAGATGGACAAACAAACATTTTTTTTTTTCAACGCACGAACGGCGGTACCGTTCAATAAATAAAGCAGTGCAGTGATGAGTTAAAAAATCCTGTAATTTAGCCGTCCATCAATATGAGTCTCCAGCGAGCAATCGCAAACAACCAATCACTCCGATGTTTGTTGCCTGCTGTCCGGGTCAGGCTATGCCATTAAAAAAAAAACTTGGTTTTGAAAAGGGAAATATTTGCTGACGTGTGGCATATTACTCATCCTCGTTCTCGTTTTGGTTTCCCAGTTATAAGCGCAATGACAAACATCTTTCAAGAAATCAATATGTATGTTGAACTTCTTCCGCACCGTACGGAGCCAACCGTGCTAATATCGGAGGTTAGGAGGTAGGACAACAAACTAAGCACAAAAAGCAGTCCGAAAGAAGTGAGTTTTAAATCGAGATTTTAAAATGCATAGCTCCAGTGGCTTCCTAATATCGGAAGGAAGACGGTTCCAGAGCCACAGAAGCGCATCTGAAAGCGCCGCGATTCGGTGACCGTCTTTATTCGATGGATAACCAATAGCCGATGCTGCTGCAAGGATGACCAGAGTTCGCGTGATCATTTATGCTCCTTGACGAGATCAGCAAAGCATTGTGGTTCATTTGTGGCGAGCACGTCACGGTGCAAAATACGATAAGTACTCTTGATTTGATAGCCATACTTTTGAACGAACGTTTCCCACTAGTTGCTAAACTGGAGTAACAAGAAGACAAAGCTGATCTCAATGCCACACAGAGTAGAGTTTCACCACATCCGGCAGTGGCAGCAGCGAATCATTGTCTCCCAGGCTACAGATCCATTTCCATATTTTTTTTCCCTAAACGTGTATTATTTGTAGCGTCGACGAAGCGCCCCCTGAAAAATGTATTCGCATAAATTTGAAAGCGCCTGACCGCATCTGCCAAATTACAAATCTGAGGATGCCAATCCCCTCTTCAGCTAAGAATTATAGACTCATGCGCGTCACGTGATCGAGTGAATCATGGGAAAGTATTTTTTGTTGTTACGCGCACAGAACTTTTTATTTTTCAACATGGAGTCAACCTCATATGGGTTAATGAATGTTACTTTTCTTTTTTAAATACAGAT